TTTAATTAATAGGTACATATAAATATATAATAATAAAGATTAACTTATGATAATATGTTAATAACTAGATACCTACCTATAACGTAATAACGTATAACCATATATTTAAACCTTATAACATTTTAAATTGTAAGTTACCTATGTATTTATAAATTGGTCAACACTTAACTTGTTTATATTATGAAGGTACCTTTGTAATATGTATGGAATACCTATAATAGTGCATTCGTGCCTACTGGAAGTCTACGTTTTGCAATCTAAAGTTTAACCCCCGACCGTACAAGACGATTTATTTTTTGTGTGAAAAAAGCGTTGACAATTGTTGCATTGAAGAATGCCTTTTGTGGGCTTCTTAGGATCATCTAGAGAGCCTTAAGGCTCATCTATACATGTTAAATCGTGAACAAGTGGTAGAATAACATGGATAATAAAGATTCTTTATAATCAGAATATCAGATAATCTATCGGAAATTTCGAAATATTTGATTAATCTCTCATCAGTTAACTCTAGACTCAGTTGTAGACTCTGCTAATGCCAGAGATTTGAGGTTTTTTAAAATCTCTGGCCAATAATCTAATCTTAATATTTATTGACTGTAAGTAGTTGAAGTAATAATTGGAACCCGACGTCTGTCAATACCACTGTTATGGATAAAAACAACCATGGTCAATACTGAATATTGAAAATGTTATTATTTTTATTTATTTTTCTATGATTTTTTTTAAGTTTTATTCAATTTGTAAGTAAATTATAAATTATTAAGTAAAGAGCATATTTATAGCTATAGTACATTATTCATTAGTAGGTATAAAGTACAATATACATTGTACATATAATATGCCTAATATCATTGAGTATATAATATACTATACAATTTAATATACTCAATACCAATATAATGTCATCAAAGAGTTTACAATCAAGAGTTCAAGAGTTTACACAGTGGGCTGTGTTTTGCTATTGCAAATTGCATAGGTACAATATTCCAGCAATGCAACACAGCAAGGATAGTTATAACATATCATTTTCACAAGCAAATATTTTTTTATAACCTGTGAGGTTTATTATGTATGCCAATATTAAATAAAATCAACTTTAGTAAAATGAAAAATGAATCTATACATTTTATATATCTGTGGGTTTCCTGAAGATTTGCAACAAATTTGAGCTCAGCAATGAAAGAGGGATGATAAATGGAATCCCCAATCATCATATTATATTTGTTCTATGCATTTTAGGTCAGACATTTTTGACAATGATCTAATGAACTTTTCTGGTAATTATTTTTTCTTAGCTTAATATACCTAGATTTGTTTACAAATTATAATTACCTAACAAATGAACAATGAAAACATCTTAAGATATAATCCTCGTTTTCAAATCTTAAGGGAGAACACTGTTCCAAATGTAAGTTTACCAACAAACTCACAGTCCACAGACCTCGAAATCATAAATTAATTCTAAGAGTTGTATAGATGAAAAAACGGCCAAAAAGGTAAATAATTATTGAAAAATGGTTATAATTTTTTAGAAAAAATCAAAATATTATTGAATAATGTACTCATGCCAGAGTTTGAATTAAAAGTTAAAATATGAACAAAAAACTGTCATAAAAAATTAATATTTAAATAAATTATGTATAATATTATGCATTTGAAAAATACGTCAATAATCAATCTAATTGTTTTCTTACCTTATCAAATAGTCAAATAATGTTTACCAAAACTATTCACTGTTTACAAACTTAAATTTTTAAAATGGAACATTATTTGTTGAAAATTTTTTTTTCTTCTAAATTTGTCAAAAAATATTAAATATATTATTTTTATTTTTATAATGTACACCAAAATATAGAACAACTTGAAGAAAAATATGAAAATACTACTTAATACATATTACATATATTGGCTTCACATAATATGTCACAAGTGCCTAGTAAATTATATTGTATTAAAAATTTAATTATTATTCTTAAAATTATAATTTAATTTTTTTAAGATTTGTAATGTTCTGAGAGATATATTTCCAGTGTTTCTACATTACCGTTATATTTATTACCACCAGCAACACCATCTATTTCTAGCAATTAAGATACAATCTTACTCCAAGACATATCATATACTACTGATTACGGACATCTATATTAGGGTCTTCTCAAAAATGGCATATTTGAAAATGTCGCCAAAGCCTTTGCACTAATATTCTATAGTAAGAGAGTATATGTATGTGAACGATGAGCTGCGTAATCATCTCCTTGGTAAAAATCATTTTTTAAATTTCAGTTTATTCATTATTTAATCATTAAAATTTGTCTGGACTCATTTTTTCAGAGATGGACTAAAACAATAAATATAAGTAATGGTCTTAAAAATGATGTACTGAAAATGATGAAATTGAACAGTAATATCATTGAAGACCACAAAAAACTTACCGAGCTCATGTTTGATGAGGTAAAAATCTGTAGAACAATTGAATATGATGTAATTCATGATGAAATAGTGGATCCAGATAAGCCAGATACAGGTAGTCTGACTCAAGGCATTGCATCAAAATGGAAGCAACCAATTTGTGTTGATTTTGATGTAAAAATGACTAAAACCATTTTAAATGATATTATTAATTAACTGGAGAATATTGGTCATAAAGTTATATGTTTTGTTACTAATTGTGGTGATTCAAACCTTGAATTGGGTGGTGAATCAATAAGGAATAACTCATGACAACCCTACCTTCTTCATTCCTAACAGACAAAGAATAGTATATATTCTTGATTCACATCACTTACTGAAACTTACACGTAACTGGTTATAAGACACCGGTTTTTATTTAAATGAAGCAGAAATAAATAAAAAAACATTAGTACCATTAATAACCAAGGAATCATTTGAAGTAAGTCCATTTCAAAAATTTAAAAAATGTATCAGGTCAGAAATACATAATGCTGTCATGGATTAATTACTTATCATATAAAATAATTTTCCAAGCAGAACGGTTATTCAATAAATTAACGTAATGCCAATTCCCAAAGGTTCAAATGTGGTTGCTAAAATAACATATAAAATATTCTCAAGAAAGTTAGTAGGAAAAAAATTCAAACTTGTAATTTAAACTTATATCAAATAAAGAATTATTGTACAAATTAAATATTCAGTTAATAAAAAAAAAGATGAAATTAAAAAACTAAACCAGTTAAGAAAAGTAATGACTTATTATGTACTACTAAATTAATTTTATTAATGTTTTTAACTATAATTATTTGAAATATTTTAGATTAATAATTAAGCTATTAATCTGTATTATAATGTTGTGAGTTTGTGACCTATTCATAAACCTACTTTATACTTTATATTAACCCCCATAGATATTATCTAGAAACTCTATACTCATTTAATTAATTAAAATATACTTTAAAATATTTAGTATATTTTAACCGTTTAGTGTTCATTTTAATGTATAATAGAATAATATATATATAATGATAATTATTAACGAATATTTATTATTTGTAACATAAAAATCCTAGTTTCCAAAAATATGAGAAATATTCATATTATTATTCTATGATTATTATTATTATGATTTAAAAATGGGATACAAAAAGAATGGTAACTGTTCGTGGGTATTCTTTAAAATTTTAAGATACACAATAAAATGATAAAAAATAGTAGAACGTTATATTAATACTGAAGTATGTTATACAATTTGCAAATTGATCAACATTCTGTTATAATTTTAACTAAATTATAAATAAATATTCAAAACCATACTTAATTAATGATTTCCTCAACAAAGAATTGAATTACCTAGTTGGAATCCTATATTAGATAATTATGTTATAGACTGAAATGAGCATACTATAATACACATTTTTAGGTATTTTAATATATAACACTGTTTTAATAAACATTTATAAAATAAGGCATGCATGTTATTTTGTGTTGTGTGATAACATGTATTTCAAAATACCAAAAATGATAATGTCTATACCATAATAATGTCTCGTTTATGAGACAAAACATTAAAACTATGAAAGAATCTGATGTTAATACATGAAACACATACTAAATTAGAAAAGAAGTATTCTATAATTTATATAATTTATAAATGTACATTGTTTTAGATTGATTATAAATACACAATACAATAATTCGAAATACATATGTGGTTGGGAAATTTTGTTTTATTATTATTATTATAAACAATACCTAATGTATTGAATAATAATAATGACTAATTTGTGTCTAATTTATATTTTATAAATATTAATTAATAATATTTTTAAAACTATATTTTACATAAATCACACTACATAGAAATCAAAATCAAAGATTATCCTATGTTTACCAGTCTTTGGGTAATAAAATAATGTTTAAATTTGCTTTGGTTTTTCAACAATAATTCTATTGATATGGCTTAGCAAAATTTTTATTTAGTAACTATAACTAGTATTGAAAAATTATTTATTAAAAGATTGGAATTTTTATATATTTATAACATTTATTTTCAATAAATACAAAACATATTCAATGATTCTTTTATTTGTATAATTAATGGAAAATCTATTGCACACTTGGTACTAGTGTTCAATAATATTATTTTAACCAAATTAAATTTAAAATGTTTTAAGTTCTAATCAAAAAAATTATGTAATAATATCATGTTTCATATTTTAATCGATTTTTTCAGAAAACTTTTTTAAAATGGTACCATAAATATAATTATAGTGGAGGTTAAAATATTAAATATGATTAATTCTTCACTTAGAACATACAACATAAAGAAACCCTTCCCTTGATATTTAATACTCATCTTAGGAAATTACATTAATAAACCGTTTTTTACTCTTTACATTAAAATTAAATTACACTGACACTAGGTAATCAAATTTAATTTGAATAAATGATTGAATTAACCTTGAGAAGTGGTTATAAGAAACGAATTACAATTTTAAAAAATATACTTCCGTACTAAATACAAAAAAGAATGAACATTAATTTTCAATCTAAAATTAAATCTTAACAGAGTTTCCCGAAACATAAAGAGGATTTTGTCTTAATATCTAAATATTTTTAGAAAGAATTTATGCATAAATATATCACTTACGTTATTGATTCAAAAAATGACTTTAAAGATGAGTTAGTAACCGGGTTTTAATATTTCTACTGACTATTTTAATTTTGAAAATATGCGATTCTTAATTATACATGGCAAGCGGGTTATGTTATTTATGCTCTTTTACTCTTTTTTGTTTTTTTTTTAGTCTTAACAGGTGACCCTGATTTATAACAATAAAATTGAGTAACAATTATAAAGTTAGCAATAGATGCAAGAGCAAAACTCCATATTAAAAGGTTATCTCCAGTTTCTTGTACGGATGTGAATACTCGTACAGATGATCCTAAAAATAAAAGAATGGATGTAGCCATTGACAATTGTCCTGTGCTTTTGTTTTGAAAATTCACATAGCCTTGAGTCATCTAAAAGAAAACAAATATTTTATTATAATATTAATTGTATCTGAGTGTTTTCATAAATTTACCTTTCCATAAAACATTAATGGTATACTGATAAACTGTGCGTTCCAGAGGAAAGAATTTGGTACAATATCAGATACGAGAAGGAACAATAATGAACAATAAATAAATGCGAAAGCACTAGCCGCCCTCTTAGATATGTTATAGTAGAAAACTAATATTACAATTAGTAATGTTTGGAATAGTATGAACAATGAATCACCCCATGAGCTGTAAAATAAACAAATTATTAACTCAATACATAAACATACACAACAAACAAATTTGAACTGTCAAAATAATAAATTTATTTATCACCTAAATGGAAATTGACTAGAATAGCTGTATACAACATTTGATGTGACAGCAAATAGATCCATGCAAACATTTACCAAACTAATTCCAACAGCACTTTTGCTTTGCCATACTTTGATAACTTGTGGAAGTTTGACTGAAAAATAAATAATATTTATTAACAATTTAATGCAAAGCTTTAAGAAGACATAACACTGGTATTTGTCGTCTCGGCCTTTAACTAGTGCATAACATAGTTCATTTAAGCTCAGCTATGTTAGTTTAAAATGTAGAATGAATCAACCTATTATGAAACTTGATGGTAAGAACATTATCTGGATTTTTAGGTTGGTTTTTAATGATAGTTCAATCAACACGTTGACTGCCATGCGGCCTCAAGAATATTTATTATTTGTACGCCAAGTTCATTTTTCAGTGTCATTGTAAATTTGTATGTATACTATTGAATTTGAAAAAAATTAAAAATACAAAAAAATATGATAAAATTATGTTATACATCAAAAAATTGCAATTATTCCCGCCACGCCACGGCGAATTTTCTAGATCATTATTGTAGCGCCACGTAAAAGTTAATAATATAAATCCAAATTAATTTACGGTAACACGCGGCCATATGGCCTCCTACGAATGATATGGTACGGCAGCTGGCGGTCTAAAAATTATCAATACCTAATTATTTTTATACGGATGACGGCGACCGCCAGTCAACATGTTAAGAAAGTTATGAGCATTTTTAATTTTCTCTATATTATATAAACAATATTTGCTAAAAAATTGAACTATCATAAAGAACCAACATAAAAACAAAGATTATGTTCTTACATCAAGTTTCATAATAGGTTGATTCACTCTAATTTTTAAGCTAATGAAGCTATACATGATACGGCGAGAGTAAATTTTCTCAGTTACACAATTGTAAGTCAGGGAAAACAAATACAAGTGCTACATCCTCTTAATGACAATTTAGTTATATGTTTGCTTACTATAGGTATGTAGGTTATGTATAAAATTAAAACTCATAAATCATATGAAATATGTTATTTTTATGCTTAACGTATAACCTTATATACGATTTTAAGTAATACTAATTCATAACATACAGTTACACAATAAGACATAAATTAGACTTTATAAATATAAATTATCACCTAAAAGAGATCCACCAACTATTCCAAATCCAAGACCTTTACTGAGAGCAGATCTTATACAAGTACCTGGAAAAAAAAAAGGTATTAATGCATTGTGTAGAAGTGAAATAATACAATTTTATAATTATACTGTTAATAAGTATTTAAACTATTACAAATCCACACAATTGTTAAGTTACAATGTAACAGTATTGATATAGGTAAAAGAGATTTCTATAATTATTCAATAGATTACATTATAGTTGTTAAGTGTATAGGTGTCTACACCACAAACTAATGATCATAAATTCATAATTTACCAATAAAACAAATATAATAAAGGTAACTAAAGTTCATAATTTGAATTTGAGTCTAAATATTATTCTATTAATCGATTATAACTAAACTTAGTCCCTAGATATTCATTCTAAAATTATTTATTTATTTTATAGCCATGTATTTTGCTCATTAGTTGATTACTAAAATGTCCAGTTGGGTACATAACTTTTTTTATTATGATATAAAATATAAATTTTAACTACTTAGGTATCAAAGTAGTAGATACCCATAGTAAATAATAATAATTTATCAATACAATTGAATGCTATTCCAGTTATTTTATCAGTTTCTTTCTACTTTCTAATATGGTTACATTTAATATGAAATTATCAAACTTAAATTTCCTAAAGATTCTAAAAGAAATTATTATAATCAGCATTCATTTAATTTTCTTATGTGATGTTGATTAGTAAATACATATCATTCAAAAAGACTTAAAGGTTAAAGAAGTGTAAATGTATTATCCATGTATAATTACATGGTGACTATGCAAAAAATAAACCAATCACTGAGTGAGAAACTGATTACGGTCATTGAGTTATCGGATAAATCTTTTGACCGCTATATAATAACATAGTCAAAACAGAACTTTGCGTTTAATCAGAATTTATATTTTGAGTATGTTTGCAAACGTCAAAAGAAATCACAGTAGAGACGCTAGCTATATGAACGACAATAATTGTAATACACTTACCGTTAAAGAAATCCAAATCGTAGAAAAACACTTGGTAGCATTTGGGAGTTAGGACGAGTAGGGCGATCCGGTGGAACAGCTCGGCAAACGGGTTCATGTCGACTTGCCCAGAGCTATAGAGCACTGCAACGGCGAAACAGGGGACAAGATTCGACGAAGGAACGGTTGGCGAGAGGAGATGAGGAAAATGGACGTTTGTTGTCGACGTTGGACGCTTTGGCTACTTGACAGATAACACCGGTTAACATGGGCCGGCAACCGACACTGTTAAAATGTACAGCGCGCGGCTTCTGGTAATGGCACAGGTAGAGGAGCGCGCTAACACCGAAAAACAGCGAGAACGCCAAAAATTACAGCGCGCGCCGTCTAATGAATAATGCAAGATCAGTTTGGATGACGCGAGCAAGCGACCGGCAACATCAGCACCACCGCCTCCCGTAGTGCGCTATCACTTGCCGCCGCATCACGCATTCACGCTCCGCCTTATCGACATTCGACGACGACGACAACGACACGGTACAAAACGAACGACCGATGCGCGACGGGTGGACAGAGGAAACCCCTTACCGCGTCTGCCGAACCATTACCGTAGGTCGGTAGACACACGTCGTGCCCACGACAGGCCACGACACACAAATTACACAAGCACCAAAGCACGTCGTACGCGCCTACGCAAATACGACATACACGCGCTGGCGACAGTACCCTAAGACCGGGGTGCGTCCCAGTGTACCACATATTAACAATGCCTAAAAATCTAGTCGTGTCTCAAGTTCTCAAGCGGGAGGCCGAGCGCCGTACAGAAATACGCGGTCGGGACTTGGATTGTTGTGATCGATTACATTTTACTGTGCTCTGTGCACTAATATCTATCTACATCGATCCACCTTGAATAGTTGAATATAATAAATATTTAACACCTTACCGTGACTAAATAAGGTCACTTTTAGTCAATTTTTAAAGTAAATTTAGTCATGGTCCATTTCACTCTGTATTAAAACATTTGTTATCATTTGACATTTAATATTTATATTAAATTCTAAGCGGAGCAAACAGTGTACTTATTGATTGTGTGTAATGACTAATGATGTTCTATTTCGTATTCTGAACAGAACGATGAATATATTGATCTTAGGTAGGTACAATGATATGTTTTTTCTTGTGCCTGTCATCGCCTTTAGGGACAGTAATAATTAGGGCTCGGATTTAAATGCCCTAAAAATATCAAAAAATGCATTATTTATTAAATAAATTCAAATTAAATGATCATTAAAAAATAAGGAACAAATAAAATTATATTTCATTACAATTTACAAAAAAAAATTAAAAATTAAATTACATTTGCATGTTGAGTAATTGTCAAGTTTTTGTCAGCGGCAACATTCACCTCACATATTTTACAAAATAACTTGATGTTAAATTAGTTAAAATAGTTCAAAATGAAAATAATTTATATTACGTAGTATTATACTACCATGTAGTACTTATATTTCAATGAGGTCAATATAATACGACAAATAGGTCAAAAATGTCCTAAAAATTAAAAATGCATTAAAACCATCAAAAAATTATTGTGGTTAGATCGCGAAGTACTTAAAACATATTTGTAGCTTGGAAAGCATCTCGTAAGATATCCCAAAAAAATGATACAAATGCATTGAAATACGAGCCTTAGTAATAATACTTCAATTTTCTTCAACAGCATCTCTTCTGGTAGGAAAGTGAATCTAGTTGGTACTTGGGGGGGGGGTCAAAAGTAAAATATTCCTAAACGTTTTAAAAAGCGTTAGGAAAAACAAACAAAAGATAAGGAAATACTGAGATTCTTACTGTAACTGTGTAACTATAAAAAAAAATATTGTAGGTAGGTACATGAAATTTTCATTAAATATTAGCAATTTTTTGCACCATAAAATGAAATTATTGTCGATCAAAAATTGTTCACTCTACGAAGAAACGTTGTAATCTAGTACAACGTGCCTCACAAGTTGTTGTTAGTGGAAATTAAAAAAAAATTGAGCATTAATAAACAATAACTTTTTAAGAGCGTCTGAAGTTAAAAATTTGACAAAATTCAACAAAATCATTCAACAAAAATTTGAAAAATTATTTCAAGTTTGAAATTCATAAAAAAATGTCTGCATATACTTCTAAGATTTTAAATTTTTATGCAAGATTCCCCTTATTTTTTGATACCTTCAACAAAAAAAAGATATGAAGTATAAAAACCGATAAGATAAACATATTATGATGTACATTTAAATTTGAATATCCAATGTCAACAAAATTTAAACTTCGCCACTAGTAAAAAATTAATTAGACTTTCCAACAAACTTTTTTTGTTTAAGGTAGGAAAACTTATTAGAAATCTTATATTCATTTTTAAAATCTTAGATATAAATAGAAAAATTGTCTATGAATTTTGAACTCGAAATAATTTCCAAATTTAGTCTTAAGACGATCATAAAAATTATTGTGGATTTCCTTTCATTTTTTTTTTTAATTTCCCTGTAACAGCAACTGTTACGATGAACTTTATAATATTACATTTTAAACTTTTTTGACAATGCAAACATATTTTTCGACATTAATTATAAAAAAAAAATAAGGTAAGTGGATGTCGCTCTGCTATACATTAGGCGTCTAATAGGTCTCTGTAATCGATAGTATTAAATTTGAATTCAATGATATCATTGTATACGAAAAACGATTCTGAGCGGAAACGGTATGGTCCAAATTTGAACTTAAAATGTCTGTAAAAAATAACAGTATTCATATAATTCTTTGATTTCTTAGTTATGGAAAAATCTGCTCGAATGAAACCTTGTTTACAATTTTCAATCCTTTGCTAAAAAATTGAAAATTGAACACATTTTTAACTTCAAAATCATTTAAAATTTTTAATTTGATAAAAATTGTCAGCATCCGAACTTTAAATGCTTATAAAAACAGATCGTGCTAATGTTTTTTAAATATTTTTCAGATGCTGTTGTAACAAGTTATCAAGAGTCTTGCATTAAATTTTAATGTTTTTTGACATAACAAAAAAAATGTAATTAATATTCATAGAAAAAAAAATGAAAATTGAAAATGTCCGTCAATAGCTTAAAACGAGTCAAAATTTTATCAAGTTATGAAACTGATGACTTAAGCATTTGGTTAAATGTCAAATGTCTACAGTAATTTGATTTTGAATTACAACAAAATAAGAAAATTGCTACAAAAGAAATCAAGTGAATATCCAATGATGTAAAAATTTCAACTTCAAACTCTCATACAAATTTAATTCGACTTTCCATAGAAATTTTTTTTTTGATTAAGGTAGACAAAGTTATAAGAAATCTTGTATTAAATTTTGAAATCTTAGATATAAATAAAAACATTTTTATGAATTTCTAACTAAATAGATTTTTAAAAATTTTGTCGACATTCCAAGTTTAAACACTCATAAAAAATTATTGTGGATTTACGCTCAACTTTTTTTTAAATTTCCATTAACAAAAACTGACAAGGAACCTTGTATTACATTTACAAGTTTTTTAATCGAGTGAAATTTTTTTATCGACTTTTGTTTAAAAAAACAAATAATAATCGAAAATTTCATATACCTATTTACAGTTCAACATAAATCAAAATATTTTGAAAATTTGATGGTGTATAGAAAATGCTAATATAAATATTTAGAGAACATTTCATGTATATACGGAGATTATTTTAAGAGTTACACTAAAAACCATTTTTGCTTTCTTAGTTGTTATTTTGTTTTTCCAGGCACTTTTGAAAACTACTGGGAGTTTTAAATTTTGAACTCCCAAATGCTTCAACTAAATTCACTTTCCCACCCAAAAAGATACTGAAGTTGAAAATCAAAGCATTATTTCGACTACTTATCGTACGCACAGATCCAAAAAATAAAAAATTTAAATTATAAACAAAAAAAAAAACGAACATTATAAAATTAATACATTATTCATCGCACCTCTCGGAATCAAAACATTGGTAAGTGAGTCGGTTACTTTTTATATCTGCATGTGCTCTCTAAATACATCAGTGCTCCACATCCGGGGCGAAAGCATAAAAAAATTATGAGGGGGTGGTGGGGGACAAGTTTATAGTATTATTAAAATATGATTATTAGGTTCTTATAACCATGATAGGTATTACCATGATATGTTATCATATCTAGTATCTACCATTAACAAGAACATGATGTTATTCGTTGATATTTGATGTTACCATACTAATGATGCCATCAGGCCATCCACTCAAAATACAAATAAAAAGTGACTGACAATCGTACGTGCATGATATACTTGTTACTTGTCAGACTCATGTCAGTATTAAAGTTTCAGTTTTAGTCTCAGGCTTAAATTGGTCATCGTTATTCGGAGACAAGAATATTTATGCGATACTGCCTGTTATTCTGTTACTTTCAGTATTTGCATTCATTATTCTTGATGTATAGAGAACTGTTAATGTGATTTTATGAGGGCCGTTTCAAGCTTTTATCACGTATAAAATAAGTATGGATTAAACAGAAAAAGGATGGGTGTTGCGGAAAATCTTCATATTAATGATAATAAAATAAAATAAACTAAAAAATTGAAAGGTTCTCTGAACAATTATTATTTTAACGAAAAAAACAAAAGTGACAGAAACATCAATAAGTGAAACAGTAGAAAATTGTTTGAATAGTCTACGAAACTTATGCTGTACCTCTTATTATAGTAAATAATTGGTATTTATTCCTGTAAATAGTTGTAATCATTTGAACTGTTACTGAAATGTTTTTCTTTTTATAGGTTCAATTGTTAAAAATTCAACTTACAGTAGTACCCACTTGTGCACAAAATGACACTATTTTTATCAGTCAAGTGGGTTACATCATACATGAAAATATTATTAGTGATGATAAATGTAAAATTGATTAAAATTCATTTATAAAAGGTTAATAGGTAATATATAATAACCAAATTCCTACATATACATATTACATGCCAGGTACTTTTTAACTTCTATGGTTAGAATCATTTGAAAAATGAAGAATAAAGAAAAAATGAGGCACTGGGAGCATTTTAAGATATCAATGAATATCTAAATTTCTTTTTCTCGTATCATACACGTGTGTGTTTGTGTTTGGCAGAATTTCTATTGGGCACCCGTAGGTTTATGCCATGCCCGATTGGGGGATGGCGGCACTTGTTCTCCGGTCACCGAGACTTGTCCGGAGAAAAATGCCGCCCGGTGTCCGAGGATCGAACCGCGACCGGCTGCGTCACAGCGGACGTGTCAGACCACTCGGTCACCTCGTCCCCCAAGATTTAAATTAAAACCCAACAATTCAAAATGAAGATAGACAACTTCATTCAAAGCTTAAAAAAAGGAACTTGTGTTTTGCCCGTAATATGGAACTAGTTATTTGTACAATAAATCAAGGACTTACAATCACCTAAAATT